TTTCCGAATCTACTTATCACTAGGAAAGCATTTTAAATAATATATGGTTAATAAAAATCTATTTTAAGCTTACAAACAAATAAATTTTAGTTTTTAATATAGTACAAAAAAAGTAATCTAAATTTACGAATGCGTGTACTGTAAATACAGTACATACTTGTATATATTTTAATATGATTTTATGTGCTTTAAACGTTTATCTAGTGATATTACGACTTCAATATTTGTGGCGGACAGACGTAAAGTCGAATAAAATGACTTAAACTTGATTTTTATTTTTCCATATACTTTTTTAACAAGCGACGTATAATCGGGAACGACGTAACTCGAAACCGACGTAAGTCGAGGTATGCCTGTAAATTAAAACAAAAAATGATGAGATACATCAATAAATACATAGATGCAAATAAAAATACTAAAACACAAAAATAAAATAAAGCAAAAACATTAATGCATGTGTAGAGCAAGCAGATTGCACATGTAATATGCATGCTTTTTTAAATGTCATCTCACTAGTTACTGCCACTTCACCAAAGTTCTTGAAACTTTACATTACGCTTGATCTCCATGCTGCCGATATCTTACTTGCTTTTCTAAAGTTGATTGCTTGCCCTTCTTGAATTTGCTTATAAATATGGTTGCTTACGAGTCACTTAGTTTTTACAAATACGTGAGCCGTTCACAGCCCGGCACACGTATTTGTAAAATCTAAGTGACTCATACAACATGGAATTCATATAAAACGGAATTATCAACAGTGTTATAGGGGGTTGACTGTACATTTTTTGAACAAATTTATAATTAGCATATAAACAGCACAGAAACTAAATAATAATGATATTAAAGAAACAATATAGCCAAAAACTCCAGCAAAAACGAAAAATATTTAATGTAAACAAACAGTTTTGATAACTTTAGCTTTCATCAGTTCAGATACTTATTGTAGTCAGGCTCCAAACACACACAGACAGAGCCCAACTATTACATGCAACTAGAATGCAATACACCTGGAAAAACTAGAGATATATAGGACATGTAACAAAAATAAGGACATAAATTTCAAAGATAGCAACAACCCTCCCTCTAGCACAGAGATCTCTTTTTGAAGTCCAGAAATAAATACTACATGTAACATTAATGTCAAATGACATAAACATTAACAACCAATCAGATGACGACTCTTTCTTTAAATTAAGGCGTTCAATTCACCTGTGTTCTTTTTCAAATATATTTATCCTATTGATGATAGTTAAACTTATCAAATACATTTGTTTATCATTAAATATTTTTCACATTTGCTGGGGTTCGTTTTTTCATTTTTTTCATTTTATATAGTTATGCACTTGTGTATAAAATATTTTAAAAATTATTTATATTGTCTAATTTTAATATAGTTATTATCTTGGTCTATGATATCTTTAAAACATCGTTTTTAAATATTATTATTATGTGTTGGGTTTAGTGGGTTATATTTGGTACACACCGGTGGCTGTGTACTATGCCGGACCAGAGTCAAGGCATAGCAACCAAAACAAAACTAAAATTAAATGTGTGTGTCAGTGTCTGTATTAAGGAATTTCCTAACAATATGGCATGTATTCAATATAGTGGCCTTCTGTAGTGTGATGTATGTATTTCTACTCAATTGTAATGTTCCCAGGCTTTTGTGTAGCGTGTGTGGTATCACACCTGTACAGGAGAGAACAACAGGTACAATAACTACCCTATCCATCCTCCACAGATGCCTTATTTCCTGGGCGAGTTCTGTGTACTTGCTAATTTTTTCAGTGCATGTGTTTTGTACATTGTGAGTGTTTGGAATGGCTATGTCTATAATGTATGTGATTTTATTGTGTTTGTCAATGAGTGTGATGTCTGGTCTGTTGTGGTAAATTGTTTTATCTGTGATTATGGCTCTGTCGTAGTACATTTTGTGCGTGTTGTTTTCCAATACTGTCTGTGGAATATACTTGTAGTATGGTTCGTGGATGTCTGCCAATTTGTGTTTCTTTGCAAGCTCTTGGTGTATTATATTTGCTACTTGATTGTGTCTATGTAAGTAATCTGTCTGTGCCAAGAGCTTGCAACCAGAAGTGATGTGTTGTATAGTTTCTGGCATGATGTGACATTTTCTGCATGTGTCATTTGTGAGTGTTGTATCTTTGAGTATGTGTTTTCTGTAGTTTTTAGTATTTATGACCTGATCCTGTATGGCAATCATGAATCCTTCCGTCTCCCCAAAGAGGCATCCCCGATCTAACCAGCTGTTTGACGCAGTTTTGTCAACAAAATCCTGGGCCAGGTCGTAAGGATGCCTGCCATGGAAAGCCTTTTGAGCCCATGATTGCTTAATGTTGTCTATGCTTTTTATATTTGTGTCATGTCTGTATGTTGTGAGTGTAAGTTTAATGGTGTGTTATTTGAGTCTGATTATTATTATTATTATTATTGTTATTATTATTATTATTACATTATAAATTAAAAACATTCTCTACTTTGTCATGACAAAACAAGAAAATGGTGCATTTTATTCACCTTTTGTAATCAGTTTTGATGATCCTAATCTAAATATGTTTTAGGAAAGACACTTAAATGTTTTTGAAATTTGAAAAACTTAGATGATAACTAATAACAAAAAGAATAATTGCTTTTTTTTAATTATTCATTTTCTTTTCTGATCCTTTTAGCTTAGTAATAAATAGAATATTACTGGTAATTTCTTTCAAACTTATTGAAAGTAAAGAATAATATACAGGCATTCCTTGCCTAATGTCAGTAATGTCCTAAAAATTGATTGTGTGAAAAATACTAACCAAGATCTTATTTCTCATTATTTTAAATGGAAACATTATACTACGAGGGTTGATCAAAAACTAAGGTTACAAGGTCGATATTCCTGGAGTTTCATTTGTTATAGAGAAATGAGAAGTGTGCGGTAATTCCAATACATGTGGTTGGCAACTGTGCAGAGTTTCAGCCACCCGCCACCTACAATGCTAGTTGTAGGTAAACACAAATGGCACTTGTTTGGAAAAACTGGTCTCATGAAGAAATCCGCTCAGTTATTTGATTTCTGTGGGCGAAACATGTAACTGCGGCTGAAATTTACTGGCAGCTGACGGAGGTTTATGGATGTCTCGTCAGCTGTCACAGAATGGTGTTGGAAGTTTGCAGCCAGTAGAGAAAATGCCACCAATGAGGATTGCAGTGGCCAACCCAGTACGGCATCAACAGATGTCAAGTGGACACAAAGATGAACCAGCACTGAAAAATTTAGCAATGAGAGTTGTGTAACTTTCTTGGCTGTTATAAGTTTATATTTAAAAAAAAACTTTATTTTTTGCTTAATAACATAAAAGTTGTGTGGGACACCATCTGTTATCAGATTTTGTTTATAAAACTTTTATGTAAAAAAATATTTAAAATTTAACAATGAGATTAGTTGTTTTACAAGTTAAAAAGGTTATATATTAAAAGCCAAAGTTTAAAAAACATTAAAAACTTCTCAAAATAAACAACAAGAAATTATTCTTCTCTATCATTACTGATTTTTGAAGAGAATTATTTAATTAAAGCATTACATAATTATTTACATAGATTACAACATTCATCTAAAGGAATCAGCTTTATTAATTTAACATTACCTCCAAATGCATTTTGCCCTGACTATAACAGGGCCTTTTCAATGGATGTAACATTATAATCCATAGCATTGTTTGCATCACAAACATCATGATTTTGATAACAAACTATTGCATAAAGATGTATTTATACCCCTAACTATATTATCCGAGTCTGCATCTACACTCATAATGATATTTAAATTAATGACATTTTTCTGCATATGAAAATATTCAAGTAGTATGAAAATATACTACTTGAATACTAAAATAAGAAAAGTGAATATACAATATGGTAGAATTCCCAATTAACTAAGGTTTCTCTTCATCTGAATCTGTTAGTGAATATATTATTTTTATTATTTATAAAAGCTTTTTCTGTGAATGCATTCAGCATGTAAATACTGTAGTACATTTAACCTCAGTTGTACCAAGCAAGTGACTCTTTTCTAAACTCTTTCTGCTCATGAGGACTAAGAGGGCTTTTTTCCACGTCCATCTTGAGTTTAACCAGATTTATAGTGAAGGTAACTGATGAGTAACAGAGCTTGACATATTTGGGACTATCTGTCCCAGATATATTGTGTTCCTTAATCCATGAAAAATGATGCTAAGTTTATTGTAGAATATTGTGGCAAAGAAGAGAGGACCTGCTGTAAAACAAAAATATAGTAGGTCCTCTCTTCAAAATACTCTAAAAGACATTTTAAAGAGAGTTTAAATGATAACATGTAGTATAAAATTATTTTCTTCTGTTACCTTTTATGATTTGACTTCAATATGAGACTTCAATTCATATTAAAATGTAGCTATTGTATATATTAGCTGTATAATAAATGAAGCAAAATTATTATTATTATATATGGTTAAAATCCCAAAGGTATAAAAAGATGTTTAAAAGTTAATATTATGTAAATCTTTTATATTCATAATTTTTATTCCAAAATAATTATGATTGTCCATTTTATGTGAGTTTTCAGTTACTCAAGGTACAATTAGTCCACATTACCTCAAATAATCTGGATTCTGTTATATTATCAAATTAAAGTTTATAAATTATAAATTTAGATTAGAAAGTGCATGTATAAAATGTTTAATGCAAAGATTTTATGTTCAATAAAATTTCTTAAGTATGCACATTCTGATTAACTTTAAAACATTAAAATTTTACTAATAATTCAAAATTGAAATTATTTTTCCTTAATTTTTCAATGTATCTAAATCCCAATTTTATCAATGCTTGATGAAGATAAATACAGTAAAACAATAAATTATATGGCTTTTATATAGAAGCTATATAATTTATATTTAAGGTAGTCATTATTGTAATTTTTTTCTGATTTAAATAATTGTAATAATGTATATTATTATTTTCTCTAGTTCCATCAGCATCTGATGAAGTTAACCTTACACCTGATTCATCACCAGAGTAAGATGAAAATTATGTTGTTATTTTTGATTAATAATTGAAAATTTGTTATTAATTATAAATGTGTTCCCAAATGTTATAAACAGATTAACAAAGCGATCTTGGTTTGGAAATCTGATGACTACAGAAAGAGATGAAACACACGTTATTCTGGTGAAAGATCGACCTCTGAGTTCTGTGAAAGCTGATTTGATTCATGCCTTTTTATCGGTATTAATATTTAAAAATTAAAGTATTTACCTTTAGTCTTTATGAATGTAAGGTTTTATCAAAATTTTAGGTTTATTAAATATATATTTTTTTGAGTGTTAATGTAAAATATAATTATTTTATGTTTTGTCAACAAAATCCTGGGCCAGGTCGTAAGGATGNTACGTAATTATAGGAGTTTTTTTACCGTTGTGTACGGATACCGCCACAATTTTTTCGCCGTCTTATAGGAATCGTAATTATAGGAACCAGTCTTATAGGGGGATCTACTGTAATTCAGTACAATTCACTCTTATTTTACACTAGTCATGTATTCCTGGAGATGGCATAAACAAAATCAATACAAATTAAATCCATTTTACTGGAATAAATGGTGACTTATATTCCAAGCATTCACAAATGAAATAATGAATGTATTTTTTTCAATAAGCACATGTTTAGTACTGAAATTTTTACTACTTTACTATTTTTCATACTAATACATATAATTATTATATACAGTGGGTGATTGGTTAACAAACATAATCCATTTCAAGACTTTGTTTGTTATCCGAATTGTTCGTTAACCATATTTACCATAGGTTTTTATGGGAATTTGATTAATTTGTTCTGAAGTTATTTTTCTGCGAAAAATTTGTTGAACTTTGGAGACATCCTTAATAGAAATAATTTTTATGACCGTTGAATAAGAAATGTTTTTTTTCACAAGAAATGTATAAAATTACAGTACTGTATTAGACTTACAGTACTTAATTTAGGCCTATATACTGTACAGATGATAGTAAACTCAACTTACCTGCCTAAACTCTCCGTAGCGTTTAAGTAGTTTGGCTGCTCGTCCACTATTGGTCCAGATTTGCCCAATCCTGTCACAACACGAGTCAGTGATGACGTTTTACTGCATTTTACAAGTCTTTTAGCGTCTTTATATGAATACGATCTCAATTTTTTCCCCACAATATACGCAATATCTCAATCTTTTCCCCGCAAATATTTCTGCGTTATATGAACCCGCAATTTGGGGGGGTCTACTGTATTTATATGTAATAATAAAAAACATATATACACAGTCTTGCATTTTTATCAGAGCCACCACAAACTAGCGCTTTGCGAGAGCAAAGCGCTAGTTTGTGGTGTGCTAGCACATCCGATGACGTCAAAGGCTCCACCCTTGTCTTCTTGCCCACGCTGTTTTTCCTTCGCTAGCGCAGCGATACGAGAGTACGCTCACTGTTCACAGAATTCAACAACTAGAGCATTTACACTAGCAAGAGAGAGTGGGGAAGACGGATGACTACATAAACATGTCACATGTCGAAAAAGAAATAATAGAATTTTATCGATGTACATAAATTACATGATTAATACATTCAGTATTGAAAAGAAAATAGTATAACCGTTGTATGTAAATAGTAATATACAGTATAAATAGTTTTCGGCTAGTTAAGCCTAGTTAGGCTAAACTAGTAAACATATTTTTTTTCCATGCTGTTTCAAAGTTCGGAACGAAAACTGACTGATTACAAGTATAGGTTATAATAAAATCTTGTTCTATAACCAATCTACATCTGTGGAATCCACGTCATGTGGACTGCGTTACGCGAGCAAGCGTTGTGTAGTTTGCGGCTGCTTCGTGCCCGCGTAGCTTACCTAGCAAAAATGGCTCATAGCATCATGGGAAAAAAGGCGTGGCTTAGGAGTGCGAGCTAGCGTACGCTAGCTCCCGCATCCTGTAGTTTGCGGCGGCTCTTAGTCATGTTTTTTCCATTTTTCAGGGTTAAAGAATCTGTCTAATGTCGATTTGCTTTTTTCTCTTCTTCAGGATTTTTCAGAGGTAATTTTAATATAATCGTAATTGTAGAGATCCTTAAGCCTATTAATCTCAACCTGGTTTGGATGCCATTTTAAGACTGTTGTTCTGACATCCTCCCACTTCTTCAAAAGATCTTTAATAGCAGATATCAGCATTAATCCTCTTTTTCAGAAGAAAACATATCTTGCCGAGTTTCTTGATGTTCTTCATTCAAGAGTTCTTGGCGTTCTTCTGTCATCAGATCAGTTTCAGGTTTCATTATGAGCTCTTCAATGTTCTTTATTTCTCAGATGTGATTTTTGTTTCTCCTTTAGCTGTTTGAGCCTTCTTGATTATATAGCATCTTTCTTAGATAAGATTGAACTGCTGCCTACTGTAGACCTGTTCAAGCCATACTGCCCAGCAACACTAGACATCTTCTGCCCACTCTCTACCTTTGCTATTATACTCTCACTTTTTGAAAATAAGAATTGACGCAAAACTTAATGAGTACCCGCCCAACAGTTTTATGAATACTATAAAAGAATTGTTTCTGTCAGAAAAATAAAAGGCTGGAAGTACAAAGGAGAGTTTCAAAGTTTGGAGGAATGCTATCCGATCAGTATATACCAGGTTGATCATCGATGTCAACATCTCTCATCTCTGAAAAGTTTTGAATTGTTGCCTGAAGACAGGGGAAGACCAATTGGTATTCATTATTTTATGTTGCTGCTTCTTGTGTTTGTTCTGTAAGGTGTTCGTTATCTGAACATAAAAATCTTTTGCGAAAGTGTTCGTTATCCAATTTGTTCATTAACCGAACTGTTTGTTAACTGATCACCTAAAACTTGTGTTGTACTGTGGTTCCCCAAAAATAAGACCAGGTCTTATATTAATTTTTGCTCCAAAAGACACATTAGATCTTATTTTCAGGGGATGTCTCATCCAAAGATGCTTGCTTGGATATTTACAAATAATTATAATTTATATTAATGTCAATAATAATAATAATAATTGTATTTAATTATATACTAATATCATTATTTTATAATTCAAAATGTCCATTGTGGGTTGCAATGGACGTATTAAATACAATCATCTGGCTGATGATCTTAACTGAGGCTTATTTTAGGGGTAGGGCTTATATTATGAGCATCCTAAAAAATCGTGCTAGGGCTTATTTTCAGGGAAATACAATAGTTCTGCTATAGAATTTTTGATATGTTTTGTAACATTGAGTTTTTTGTAATAATTAAAATTTCATAGCCCTGTAACAACAGGTAAACATAGACATTTAATTCCAAGTACATTCAATTCCATTCTGATATACTATCTTTATAGTTTATAAAGTAATTCATAGATGTTTAAGAAAATTCCCTGTTTACATTTTTTTAGAGTTATAATTGTAATCATTATGAACTAATACTTTTATAATAAATATCAGTAAAAGTTTTTTGCTTGTAACTTTGGAAAAATGGTATATTAATTCCTTAACTACATAATAAAATTTTATTTTTAAATACAGATAGCAGACTTATGTCATAGTGTTGTATCACCTATGTCATTTCGTGTTGAATATAAACGGCCTGGAGGACCAGCTATGTTTCAAAGAAATGTTCGATTCCATGTAGATATGACTCTAGTAAGTGGAGATGGAGATAGTGTTGAATTGTCCAGTACACCAAGTAGTGATAAGGTAGAAGGAGGTGAAAGTCCAGCTGTATATTGCATTAGCTTTACACTCATTTCAGGTTGGTATAAAAATATGTCTCATTTTAAAAATTATGATAATTAGGTTAGAAAACTTAATATATTTGTAGGTCCTATTCGAAGGTTTAAGAGAATCTGTGAACATATTCAGGCACAGATATTAGGTCGCCGTCCTAATCACTCACCTCGCATCAGTCGGCGTCCCACGGCTGAACTCAGTGAAAGCTCTTCTTGTGGTTCGGAATCCCTATCACCTACACCATCTCGCCATCAGATATCAGATGATATGGTAGTTAATGTGGGTTCTTCTACATCAAATGTTACTTCAGCTGTTATGTCTCGTTGTAAATCAGATCAAGATGCCACTGCTGATATTTTCGAGAGAGAAGAAAAACTGATGGCAGGAGGACAACAGAGAGATGAAACTAGGCCAACAACAAATGGTCATCATATGAGTTATGATTTGAAATCATCTAAAGATAAAGTATGATAATTGTGATCATGTGATGTTGGATTTATCTTAAGCTGTTTTTAGGCACTGCCAGACACAAACTATCATTATATCTGTATATTGTGTACAAAACAAATGATAGATTTAAAAAAAATGAGGATTCTATTAAACAATGAAAATTCAACTTATAGATCCTCTTAACAATTTTATCTGTATTCTGTTCAAAAAATAAGAATTTCATTAATAGAAAGATTTTGTTTTTAAATTACAAATTTATTTATTTGTTTTGATATTTGAATTATTTTTTTACGGATTTGTTTTTATTAATGTTTTATTTTAAAATTTTTTTGACTTTATTTCTTTAGAAGTCATGTTTAATATATTTTAAAATTTTAGTTACTAAATTTTATGGCCAATTGATTTTGGATTGAAATCCCAATTGGTCTTTGTTTCCTTTCTCATTTTATCAGAACTGCAAGGTCTGTCTTCCTGATCTTTCCAGATAAGTTGATGACGTTTGGAACTTACTACGTTAGCATTATACAATTGAAGTATATACTTAATTATCTGACAAATTAATATTTGTTATTAAATAGGACATACATCTTCAATATTTATTTCTCTGAGACAGAATATGATAGAATATAATGTACATTCAGTTTTTACTGAAATAAAAATAATTGATACAGGTGAAGTCAAAAACAATAATGAGAAAAAGGCATTAAAATACAATAAATAAATAAATCATGAAATTATCTATTAAGAATAAGTATAAGCTATTAATCCAATTCACAAGAACTGTATATAGTAAATATTTGCATTACAATTTTCAAAAATTGCAAGTCTATAAATTCCCATTGGCATCCATCAACTGTCCATCATTTCCAAATCTCAAGAATGGAGCGAGACAGATGGAAGTCAAGATCAGATACAGAAAGTTTAGTGGTAGGAAGCCCCAATTAACTATATACAAACTTCTGGTTTGGACCAGAAGTCACGTCATTTCAATTCAAAAATTCTCTCTTGAACAGTTAGATAGAAGACCACATAACTCTATTGTTAACAGAAAAAATTTAATATACAGTGGCAAGACACTATTAAAATTAAGAGCACTGTGATAAAAAATTACAGCCCAGCATTGTGACAATGTCACAATAAATAATAGCTCATTTTTAATTAAATAAATTTGCCTAAACTTTTACTATAANCCTAAATAAACTTACTTGGAATTTCTTTTATGATTGGGTTTGCTAATTTAAAAAAAAATATGATATTGATTTCACTGTTTTGGCTTCTTTCATATGAATATATAAAATCATATTTTATATATAAAATGTAGATGAAAATGTTTTTTTTTTCTTTAGATTGAGTTTATATTCTAAATATGAGAGACTATAAGTGATTCTTTACAGAATTCTTCAGGTTGAAAATGATATTTGCATTTATTAGTATAACAAAAACTTTGAATTAACATTTATAAATTTCAATCATTTATTGATAATTTGGAATTATTTAACTGGGTTAATTTCAAGGTAACATAAGAATAATTATACTAATGCAATAATTCAGATATATTTCTAACATACAACATCTGCATAAACATCTATTATTTTTCATTAACTTGGATTTTTTTATACATTATGTAAAATTACCTAGTAAATATTATTATTATTATACCATAGTTTCTCTTTGGCTTAAATTTGTCTTTATCTTGCTGAAAATCAAAGTTGACAATAGTGAAATAGATATCTTAATTAACATATAATGAAGTATATTTTAATTAATTATGTTAAAAAATTATTTATTGTTAATAGTGTTTTAAAAAATTGTAATATCCTAATTGAAAACATCAGCAATGATATGGCTGTTCTAAAGAGATAATAATTGAAGACAATTTTATATAGTAATATATTAAATTTCATTGTAATTTTTGTTTTATATTGTTAGTAGTAATTATGAAAAATAAAAATTAACATGTTAAAAAAATTATTCAAAATTTATTCCAATGATCAATACTATCTGGTGAAAATGGGTTTTGTTATCTGATATCATTTATTAATTTTATTTATTACTTAAAAGCTTACATATTTTATTTTAAATATCTTTTCTTGTGAAAATATATTCACAAGAAATATAACTGCAAAATTAGATTCATTATATTATAGATGTCTTACTTAATTTTGATTCTAAGAAATATACAATATAAGTAGTAAACACTTAATATTCACTTAAAAGAATAAAAAAATATATTTTTGCTAAATTTTAATCTTAAAATGTTTTATTGTTAGCAATAACANAATATTTTTGTTTTTTACTGGTTTTTTTTTTTGGTTATTTGATGTTATGTGGCAATGTAAAATATTAAAAAAATACAAAAATGATTGTGAGAAATGCAATAAAACAAAATATAAATTAATTTCAATTACATACAGTATTCATAATGTATATATAAAACATAAAATTCAAATGTATGTTTTTAAATTGGTATGCAATAATTTGTTAAATTTTAATATGATAATGGTCTTCCATCCTGCAATCATTACTTAATTGCTTCTGTTTTGAAGTACAGAAGAAAAATAATGCAGATTGTTGTGAACAATTTTTATTTTTCTTTCTCATTCCTCCTTTTATTTTGCAATATTATAAATCAAATAAGTCTAAAAAGGATGAATCAATGCTTTTTTGTTTTGAGGAACGAAATTTTAAAAATTAGTGTGTGTGCATAGACTATTGTCTAATTTTTTAAAATTTTAACTATAGTTTTATTATATACTGTAGTGAGAAATATTTTTTTTTTCCTTATTGCTACATCAAAATTCAGCTTATATTTATCATTAATTACAAAAAGATTTTGTGACTAATCATTAATTAAAATTGTATTTTGTTTTATATCATATAAAAAAAAAATCTATTTTTATATTATAATGATTACCAAACTGTGCTATTTATTACAATACACTGTAACTAACAGTAATTTATTCTGTTAAGATATTACAAACTGACAATGTAGTGATTTTGCACAAAAATATATATAAACTAAACATAACTATTATAGCACATAATAGAAACATCAATAATAGATGTAGTGAATCTGTGCTGTGGTAATTAATGTATTTAATAATGATATATTTTCATATATTTTAAATGGTCACATATATATATATATTTAGATATTATGACTTTTAAGGATTTATATAAAAATTTATAAAGTGTTTATTTTCTCAGATTTTATGATTTAATTCATGTGAAATATTAATTTTATTGGTTATTTTTAAACATGATATGCTCAGAACTGACTACTTGAGTAATAATAATTCAAAATTTTCAAAATTTTGATTGATTTTAGATCACTATTAATGTAAAAATCATCTATTAAATTAGGATAATTAGAATATAATTATCCTAACTTTTATCAAAACAATTTTTAAGCCAAAAGTATATTATACAGAATAATCTTGTAATGAAAGAAGGATATTTTTCAGCATAATTGAAATCTCTACAGAAAGTTTATTTAGGCAATAATACAAAATAACTCTTTGAAATTCTTATTATTATAAATTCTGGTTTATTTATCAATTAGATAACTCTAAAATAGTAAATAATTAAACCAAATCTTATAAATTTTTCAAAAAAAAGACAAAAAACAGAATTAATTGTATCCAATAGTCAAGATATATTAAATCACAGTTATTGTCTTCCAATAAAATGAGAATGTATATACAATTATTCTATCTCAAAATACTATATTTCATTTTTAGAAAGACTTGCAACATGACAAGATTTAGATTCAGAATGTCATTTAGGTATACCAGAATCAGTTTTATAGAGTACTAATGAATATAATGAGAAGTTTGAAATGCAGTGAAGAGATAGAAGGACGCACATTGAGCCAATCAAATCTCTTCTGATTCAAATTTTAGACATCATTTTGAAGAGATTTCTGTATAACAAAGGAGAAATGTGGCATGCCATATCCAATAAACATAATTTCTATATAACAATGTCTAATCGTAAATGCATTATTAGTATTATAGTTTCTTATAAATAAAATTAATATGACATATCTTAAAAATATAAATTATTATAAATGTTTATTTTGGAAATATGAATAGGTTAGAGAATGGAATTAGAAACAATCAAAAAATAAATAAATATTTGTATATCATTGGATTTAAAAAAATATCACTTCACTTATGTAGTTCAGATTTTGGGTAAGAGGAAAAATCCTATGTAATCTCTGTTAAATATGCCTGTGTGATAGAAATATTATGTTTTAAGTTATTGTTTAAAATAAGTTTAAATATGGGTGTTCAAAAATTAGCATAACAGTACTATAGAACATATCATAAATGTATGAGATTAGAATTGTAAAATGTTATCCATTTCCTATTGCTACTGTCAAAAAGTTCATCCTGGATGTATGATTTTGGTCATCAACTGAAGTTTGATAAACATTGTTTTGGCACAATTTGTGCATGACAAATAATATAAAATTGTCCAAAGTAGATGATGGTGCTCCTAATTATAGCCAAAATACATTTTGGAGTTTAGTTATGTTTGTTGTTAAAGAGACTATATTTCATTTAGTATTTCATAAGGAAACAAGTACAGTATTTTGTGTTTTGCCAATCCAGGCAAACATTTCATGCAACTTTTTGCATTTTATGTTTTAATTGTAACTTCCTGCAAGATTTGTTGATTCATTGGAAAAGTTTTCATAAACAGTTATCACATGTTTGAGCTTGCATGTTTAATTCATCCATATTGAATTAAATTTCATGCAGTTTCTCATGTATCTTGTTAATCAGTATATTTGTAAAATGATATGGTACAAAGATGGAGAAAATTGTAGAGAAACGATCTTATAAATACTTGCAAATCTTAATTAAAGAATAAATTCTTTGCATTGAAACTGTCCAAATAAAATTGTTGTTGTATATCTTGTAATTTTTTTGATGATTAAAATTTTTCATGAAAACATCCAAAACAAAATAATTTGACAATTTCTTGTCTACTTTGAAAAAAAATTGAAACCATATTCAAGTGTGTCTAAAAAAAACTCTTGAATATGGTTTCAATTACAGATGATATACAGTCGACCCCCCCTATAATTACGATTCCTATAAAACTACGAAAAAATATACGTATTTTGGAAATGTTGAGTCGGATTAGTGTAGAATCGATTAATTTTATGGAAGCAAACCTTTCAATCAGCCGTAGTCCATAAACTTGACATGTGTCGGGCTGTGATTGGAACGACTTGTAAGAAATCGGATTCCTAATAAATTGGAACGTATCTATATCTTATAGGGGGGTCGACTGTATAGAATTACTCTTGATGGATTACAGAAACTAATATTTATTTTAGGAAAATAGATAAGATCACACATTTTGTCCTAATTAGTAAGTAAACTCAAAGATTTCGTCTTTAACACATATGGTGCACATTGAGATTGAATACAGTCTGATATTGTGAGAGTATGAAATTTCTCTCTCCACTTGTTACATAATGTCTTGTGTGACAGTTCTGGCTGTGTTTATTATGTGACATTTTAATGTTTCAATATCTGTAACAGGTATTGATATACCAGGTCCTTCACATACCCTTTGGACGTTTTCTTATGGAGTTATATCAGGAGCAGGATGGAAAGTGAATTGGTCTACCTTGCCCCATTCATTGGTTAGGAAAAGCTTAATTCAAAAATTTGTTCTCTGTTTTTGTAATGCATAAGAAAACT